CTTCTCCCTCTGACCCTCTTCCCTCTCGTGCTCTCTATCTCTCATTCTCTCTCTCTCAAATAAATAAATAAAATCTTTAAAAATATATATATATATGAGATTAAAGATATGCCTACATCCCAAATTGTGTTTTATGGTCAGTATTTTTAGTAAATTCTAATGTATTTTCCTGTAGTTTACAATGGCTCATATATCATATATGAGAATCTTATTGATCTGATTTTTTTTCTTCCTATTTGAAGGTTTCTTGTTCTCCTCAAGGTCTGACAGTTTGGGTTCAGAACACTTCATATTTGTGTAGTCGAGCTGGGCAGGTCCTCCCCGTCAGTATTCAGATGAATGGCTGGATTCATGATGGTAACCTGCTCTGCCCATCATGTTGGGACTTCTGTGAGCCCTGTCCTCCAGAAACCGATCCTCCAGCTACTAACTTGACCCGAGCTCTACCACTAGGTGAGTAGTCTCTGTGGTTGGAGTAAAGACAAGGACTTTTCTTATATAATGTTGGAAATTCCCTTCAAGGAAACTCTAAAACAGGTGGAGCATCTTCTCTTCTAATTGCAATTTTATGGGAAAGCCTCCTTCCCACCATTGTTAGAAACTGAAGGTGAGTAAACATTATACTTCCATTCAGTAAGAGCAAGGATAAGGAACCTTTCTAAAGACCCTCTGATTTGGGAAAAAAAAAAGAAATTAAGTGTAAACAAACTTTTGCTCATTAAACACAAAAAGCAGTTAAATGTATTTCAGTTATACAGGCATACCTCATTTTATTCTGCTTTACTTTATTGCACTTCACAGATACTGCATTTTTTACAAATGCACGGCTTGTGCCAACTGTCAGCCACTCTGCCAGCACCACTTTTCCAACAGCACTGGCTCAGTTCATGTCTCTTTGTCACACTTTGATAATTCTCACAATATTTTAAACTTTTTAATTATTATTATATTTGTTACGGTGATCTGTGATCAGTGATCTTTGATTTTACTATTGTAATTTTGTTGTTTTGGGGCACCAGGAACCACACTCACTAGAAAGTGAACTTAATTGATAATTGTGTGTGTTCTGACTGCTCCACCAACCAACCATCCCATTTCCCTCCTCTTCCTCGGGCCTCCCTATTCCCTGAAACACAACAATATTGAAATTAGGCCAATTAACCCTACCATGTCCTCTAAGCATTCGAGTAGAAGAAAGAGTCACACGTCTGTCACTGTAAATCGAAAGCTAGAAACGATTCAGCTTCGTGAAGAAAGCATATCAGAAGCTGGTTGTGTCAGTTAGCCAAGTTGTGAATGCAAAGGAAAAGTTCTTGAAGAAAATGAAAAGTGATATTACAGTGAATACACAAATGATTAAAAAAAAAAAAGTGAAACATCGTTATCGCTGATATGGAGAAAGTCTGGGTGGTCTGGATAAAAGTTCAAACCAGACACAACATTCTCTTAAGCCAAAGCCTAATCCAGAGCAAGGCCCCAACTCTCTTCACTTATGTGAAGGCTGAGAGAGGTAAAGAAGCTGCAGAAGAGAAGTCAGAAGCTAGCAGAGGTTGGTTCATGAGGTTTAGGGAAAGAAGACGTCTCCACAACGTACAAGTGTAAGGGGAAGCAGCAGGTGCTGTTGCATTAGCTGCAGCAAGGTCTCCAGAACATCTAGCTCAGATAAACAGTGGAAGTGGCTACACTAAACAACAGATTTGCAATGTAGATGAAGCTTCTGTTGGAAGATGCCATTGAGCTAGCATTCATAGCTAGAGAAAAGTCAATACCTGGTTTCACATCTTCCAAAGGCAGGCCAACTCTCTTGTTAGGGGCTAATGCAGCTGGTGACTTGAAGTTGAAGCCTGTGCTCATTTACCATCCTGAAAATCCTAGGGCCCTTAAGAATTACACCAAATCTACTCTGCCTTTGTTCTGTAGGTGGAACAACAAAGCCTGGATGACAGCATATCTGTTTGCAGCATGGTTTACTATTTTAAGCCCAGCGTTGAGACTTACTTCTCAGGAAAAAAATGATTCCTTTTAAAATTACTGCTCGTTGTGAATCCATCTGGTTATCCAAGAGCTCCAGTAGAAATGAACAATGAGATTCATGTTGTTTTCATACCTGCTAATACAGCATCCATTCTGCAGCCCACAAATCAAGGAGTAATTTTGACTTTTGAGTCTTATTATTTAAGAACTCTATTTTATAAGGCTGTATCTGCCATAGATAGTGACTCTCTGGTGGATTCAAGCAAAGTAAATTGAAAACCTTCTCACAAGGATTCACCATTCTAGATGTCATTAAGAACATTCCTGTTCCAGGAGCCTGAGTGGCTCAGTCAGTTAAGTGTCTGCCTTTGGCTCAGGTCATGATCCCAGGATCCCGGGATCAAGTTCTGCATCGGACTCCCTGCTCAGTGGGGAATCTGCTCCTCCTTCTACCCCTCCCCCCTGCTTGTGCTCTCTCTCTCTCTCATGCTCTCTCTCATTCTCTCATGCTCTCTCTCTTTCTCTCTCAAATAAATAAAGAAAATCTTAAAAGGGGGGGGTGCCTGGGTGGCTCTGTCAGTTAAGCATCTGCCTTCTGCTCAGGTGTAATCTCAGGGTCTTGGGATCAGGCCCCGCTTCCAGCTCTCTGCTCAGTGGGGAGTCTGCTTCTCCCTCTCCCTCTGTGCTCATGTGCTTTCTCGATCTCTTACTCTCTCTCAAATAAATAAGTAAATCTTTAAAAAAAAAATTCGTGTTTCATGGGAAGAAGTCAAAATACCCACATTCACAGGAGTTTGGAAGAAGTTGATTCCAACCCTCATGAATGACTTTGAGGGTCCAAGAATCCAGGAGAGGAAGTGAGTACAGATGTGGGGGAAACAGCAAGAGAACTAGAATTAGAAGTGGAGCCTGAAGATGTGGCTGAATTGCTGCAATCTCCTGATAAAACTTGAATGGATGAGGAGTTGCTTCTTATGGATGAGCAAAGAAAGTGGTTTCTTGAGATAGAAACTACTCCTGGTGCAGATGCTGTGAAGACTGTTGAAAGGACAACGGATTTAGAGTATGACATTAAACTTAGTTGATAAAGCAGCAACAGGGTTTGAGAGAATTGATTCCAATTTTGAAAGAAGTTTTACTGTGGGTAAAATGCTATCAAACAGCATCACATGCTACAGAGAAATCATTTGTGAGAGGAAGAGTCAATCGATGTGACAAACTTCATTGTTGTCTTATTTTAAGAAATTGCCACAACCAGCCCCGACCTTCAACAGCCACTACCACAACTAGTCAGCAACCATCAACATCGAGGCAAGACCCTCCACCGGCAAAAAAGATTATAACTTGCAGAAAGTTCAGATGATGGTTAGCATTTTTGAACAACAAAGTACTTTTAAATTAAGGTTTGTACATTTTTTAGACATATACTATTGCACAGTTAATAGACTGCGGTACACTGTAAATACAACTTTTAAATGCACCAAGAAACAAAAAAATTCATTTGACTTGTTTTATTGCAATATTTGCCTATTTAGTGGTTTGGAACTGAACCTGCACGATCTCCAAGGAACGCCTGTGTTACGAGTAGGTGAGGTAAAAGAAAAGGAAGGACACTGGACAAGATGCTTAAAGAAGGGATTGATGTACCCACAAAGAAGAGAAAGGTGCAAGGACACATAAATATGCACAAAGCAAGATAGAAAGATGGGGGGCGCCTGGGTGGCTCAGTCGTTAAGCGTCTGCCTTCTGCTCAGGTCATGGTCCCAGGGTCCTGGGATCGAGCCCCACATCGGGCTCCCTGCTCGGCAGGAAGCCTGCTTCTCCCTCTCCCACTCCCCCTGCTTGAGTTCCCTCTCTCACTGTGTCTCTCTCTGTCAAATAAATAAATAAAAATCTTAAAAAAAAAAAAAAAGATAGAAAGATGGGCTAGTAAAGACAAAGTGGTTTTCACGGACGTATGTTTTTCTCATTCTGTGAGACTCCAGAGAGTAGAATTGAGAACAACAGAACAGAGTTGTAGGGAGACAAATTCCAGTTAAATCCCTTTGATCCTTAGTCCAGGAGAGGAATGGAAAGAACTGCCTTGAGAAGAGGCCATTTCCCATTACTGAAGCTGTGTGAACTGAGCCTGATGACCCATTTCTGAGAGTTATAAAAGCAGATTTCATGAATTCTCAATTAAAACTTTGACCTAAGATCTATGAGATTTTAATTAAATGACCTATGTGATTTTATGACAGTTTGATATTTTAGAATATGAATAAAGATCTTATGCACTGTTTCATTTTCTCAGTTGGAGGTATTTTTTAAATGGAACTGGGTAGCCCCTTTGCCTGTTCCATGGTCTGGTTGAAAATGGAGGGCTGCATTCATTTACACCTCAGTTTCTCCACCTCTAAGATTTAGTTTCCTTTATTTCCCAAATCCTGGGGGCTTTCTGCAGATATGAACTGTCAGGTAGAGTGTGAGTTTTAGAAGACTGGTACTTGTGGGGGTGCCTGGGACCACCTCCAGGTTTGGTGATTCTCGAGGACTCAAAGGACTCAGTCTGTAGTTGTACTTATGGCTAAGATTTGTTAAAGTGAAGAGATACAAAGCAGAATCAGCAAAGGTTGGCAATAGGGTGAAATCTGGCAGAAACCTGTTCTCGGACACCAGCTAAACCATCCTTGCAAGCAGGACTTTCAAAGGATGGCAGTCTCAGGCCTGCTATGTTAACTCTTTTCTGAACAGAACTTCAGGGAGTCAGCTGTTTTCTGTAGTTATAATAATAATGACACAATGAATTGTTTGAAATGATATAAGATCTTAGGTCCTGAGGCGCCTGGATGGCTCAGTCGGTTAGGCATCTGCCTTTTGCTCAGGTCATGATCCAAGGGTCCTGGGATTGAGCTCCACGTGGGGCTCCCCACTCAGCAGGGAGTCTGCTTCTCCCTCTCCCTCTGCCCCTCCCCCCAGCTTGTTTTCTGTTTCTCTCTCAAATAAATAAAATCTTAAAAAAAAAAAAAGATCCTAGGGACACCTGGGTGGTTCATTCGGTTAAGCATCTGCCTTCAGCTCAGGTCATGATCCCAGGGTCCTGGGATCGAGTCCCACATCAGGCTACCTGCTCAGCGGGGAGCCCTCTTCTCCCTCTGCCTGCCACTCCCCCTGCTTGTGCTCTCTCTCTATCTCTCTCTGACAAATAAAATCTTAAAAAAAAAAAAGATCTTAGGTCCTTTTGGTGTGGTAAGTAGTATAAATAGTGTTAAATATTCTTAGTTAACTTTTACTTTTAATATGAAGCTGGTAGGATGACTTAATTTTGTTGTTACTGTTAAATTGCTTTGGTTAGAATAAGAGGGTTGATAGTCCACAAGTTAGGTGTTCTGATGGAGTTCCCATCCTCAGGCCTAATCTCAGTTAACTGTGACAATCTGTCACCATCTCATTGTCCAAGACATGAGCAAGGATTGAGCCATTGGCAGAGTTGAAATAGTTAATTCCAGCTAGTTCAGGGGTAAGAATCTTGGGAGTAGAGTGAAGAATATCTAGGAATGAGAGAAAATCCAAACCAGGATAAGGGGCTATGAGATGATTATTTCCTGTCCTTGGAGCATGACAAAGACAAGTGAATCTATTAAAAGGAGGTGGGGGGTAGAGATTGCAAATCACCTGCCCCCTCCACCTGCACAGTCTGCACCTTAAACTCTGCTCATCCTACTTCTTCTTTATCAGTCACCCTTCTGATACGGTGCTGCTATAATGTGATTGATTTCCCTGTTAACTTGCCCATTTCTATGAGGAAGCATGCTCAAAAGAGCATTGCAAGCACCAAATCACTACTACAATTTTGAAAAATGTATAAATATTACAAGAATAGCTATATTTTAGGCATTGCTTTTTAAACATACACATCACTGTTGAAATTCTAAAATATCCTGACTTACTGTATTTGTTAATGTGTTCATTGAGCATACTAGCCTTTACTGAATATTTATTGAACTATGTGCCAGAAACTATGACAAATGTTTCTTTCAGGCAAATAGTTTGTTTCTGTTAATACTTTTTTAAATTTTTTTTTTAAAGATTTTATTTATTTATTTGAGAGAGAGAATGAGAGAGAGAGAGAGAGCCCATGAGAGGAGGGAGGGTCAGAGGGAGAAGCAGACTCCCCGCTGAGCAGGGAGCCCGATGCAGGACTTGATCCCGGGACTCCAGGATAATGACCTGAGCCGAAGGCAGTCGCTTAACCAACTGAGCCACACAGGCGCCCTCTGTTAATACTTTTTTATGACCCACTAAATATGTAAAAATATTTTGATGCTTTAAATGTACCTGTGTGAGAAATACTAATAATTAGATTTAACCAATGATGAACCTTATTAAACAAATTATCACCCCTGATCTGTCTTAGGAAAGTATTTTTTTTAGGTTTTTAAGCATGCCTTTAAAACATTAAAAATGCTAATATTCAGAGGAAGTGTAAAAGATATTCTACCTAAATTCTTCTGATTTTTGTTATTGTTGTTCTTAAGTGTTAGTTTGCATAGCCTTTTCTTACATTTGTAATTTCTTTTAGAATGTAAAACTCTGGAGTGCCTGGGTGGCTCAGTTGGTTAAGCGTCTACCTTAAGCTCAGGTCATGATCTCTGGGTCCTGGAGTGGAGCCCCTCATTGGGCTCCCTGTTCAGTGGGAAGCCCACTTCTCCCTCTGTCTGCCCCTCCCCCAGCTTGTGCTCTCCCCTCTCCTCCTCTCTCTCTCTCTCTCTCTCAAATGGGTGGGTAAAATCTTAAAAAAAAAAAAAAAGAATGCAAAACTCTTTCTTTTCTCTCTCCTTTTTTCTAGTTGTCACTTCTAAATGCTAGAGTGTGATTAGGTAGTTCTATATTGCCCAAAATAGTTTCCATTAGAGACTATGAAAGATTTATTTCTGAATTCTTTCAAGTCTCTTCAGATTGTAGGGGTTGTTTTTGTTTCCATTTATTGAATGCTGGACACTTTGCCAAGTGCCTTATGTCCGTATCATTGCATTTAATCATCACAAAACCTAATGAGGTAGGAATTACTGTTTTACACATGAGAAAACTAAGGTATAAAGAGATTAAGTAATGTATTATTCATGAACTAATAAATAATGAAGTTCAGAAAAAAACCCAGATCTTATTGTGTCTAATTCATTTTGAAACCCTCTTTTTGAATCTTTTCATTTTAATTAGTACTAGCACTGAAAGTGCAGTGTTTTTGAAGAACAAATGTTCCAGAACTGGCATTAATGTTTTAATAGCTTGTTAAATATTAGTACAAACAGTAGTACTTCTCCTGTTTCCTTTGGGCCAAATTGAAAGTCAGGAGATAAAGGGATATGTCTATGTTATTAGTCACTTCAGGGTCTATTCCGTAATGCAGCCCAGACCACGCTACCACATCAACTCTGGGTTTATGGGAATGTTCCATAGTTTGCACTATCCAGTACAATGGTCATTAGTCACATATGACTGTTGAACATGTAAAATGTGGTTAATGTGAGAAACTATTTTATTTTATTTTTTAAAGATTTTATTTATTTATTTGACAGAGAGAGAACATAAGCAGGGGGAGCAGGAGAGGGAGAAGCAGGATCCCCGCTGAGCAGGGAGCCTGATGCGGGGCTCGATCCCGGCACTCCGGGATCATGACCTGAGCCAAAGGCAGACGCTTAACCAACTGAGCCACCCAGGCGCCCTGAAACTATTTTAGTTAATTTAGATTTAAATAGCACATATAGGGGCGCCTGGGTGCCTCAGTTGGTTAAGCGTCTGCCTTTGGCTCAGGTCATGATCCCGGAGTGCCGGGATCGAGCCCCGCATCAGGCTCCCTGCTCAGCGGGGATCCTGCTTCTCCCTCTAACCCTCCCTCCTCTCATGTACTCTCTCTCTCTCTTTCTTCTCGCTCTCTCAAATAAATAAATCTTTTAAAAAAATAAATAGCACATATAGCTGTGGCTGCCATATTAGATATTGCAGTCCTAGGTCAAAAGTTCTCAAACTTTATACCTTAAAATCATGTTAAAGTCCAGAGTTTTGGGTTCAGAAGATCTGGGTCGGAGCCTGAGAATTTGCATTTTTAAGTTCCCAGGTGATGCTGATATTGTTGACAGAAGGACTACACTTTGAGAAGAACCATTCTTAGCTAAGTGGGATTTTTTTTTTTTTAAGATTTAACAAATACCAGCATGATTCCATTGAGGAAGAATAGAAGTTCCCCGTGGTTTACCTGGCTTACAGCCACAAGTATTTTTAAAAAATAATTTTTTTTAAATACTTGTTCCACATTGCATAGCGCTCAGAAGTACAAGCTCCAGTGCCTTGACATTATCATTCTATTCATCCTATAGCTGAAGACCAGTCCTATTTTTCTTACCTTTTAAGCAAGTCAGACTTGAAGCTTGGTTGGTTCTTTATTGATCAAAATATTGGAAAGGACAACTCATTCTAAAATAAAGTCAGGTTGACCTGGTCTCTTGACTGCAATAAAAATGTTCTATTCTGAGAATTGTTTTGAGAAGGCATTTTAGCCCTGAGAACAACTCGTGGCTAAATTAAAATATATTCCTAGTTCCCAAAGCCCATAGAATCTTCTGCCATTTCCTTTTTTTTTTTTTTTTTTTAGATTTTATTTATGTATTTGACAGAGAGAGAGAGCACAAGCAGGTGGAGGGAGAAGCAGGCTTTTTTTTTTTTTTTTTTTAGATTTTATTTATGTATTTGACAGAGAGAGAGAGCACAAGCAGGTGGAGGGAGAAGCAGGCTCCCCGCTGAGGTAGGAGCCCGACTCAGGACTGGATCCCAGGATCCTGAGATCATGACCTGAGCTGAAGGCAGATGCTCAATAGACTGAGCCACCCAGGCGCCCCTCTTCTGCCATTTCCATATCTGCCTGGGGTTATATGGATAGATGGGCAGAATTTAGAGATCAGGGACCACATGTCCTGGTTTACCTGGGACAGTCCATATACTGTGGTCTTGGTATAATTATTAATAGCATTCCCTTGTGTTAATCAAAAAGAACAAATTAGTTGATCTAAGCAAATTTTATTTCACACTTCATAAAGCAGGCAGTCTCCATCTCAAGAGTACAAAGAACTGCAAAATAAGGGAAAAGGACTGCAGGCAGGGAACAAGGAAGAAATACTCAGGTTAAGTTGATTGGCTAGGCTGGCATAGCTGACCTTATTTAGAAAGGTCAAGGAAGGGGTGCCTGGGAGGCTCAGTTGTTAAGTGTCTGCCTTCGGCTCAGGTCATGGTCCCAGAGTCCTGGGATCGAGCCCCGCATCGGGCTCCCAGCTTGGCGGGAAGCCTGCTTTTCCCTCTCTCACTCCCCCTGCTTGTGTTCCATCTCTTCTATGTCTCTATCTGTCAAATAAATAAAATCTTAAAAAAAAAAATAGAAAGATCAAGGAAAAAGGAAATAAGTACAAGTCCCAGAGTTGGCTTGGCAGTTGAAGATTAGTTTACTAGTTATACTGTGTTTCTGGTCAAGCGGAGGAACACAAAAGTTATCTAATTTTCAGTTTGCTGCCATGGCACCACAGGCACGAGTGGCTCCATCTTGGGAAATTTATTGCAACACTTGTCTCAAAATGCCCTGATTTGGGATGATAAATTATAGGGTTACCCTACTTAAAAAGGACAAGGAAGAATAGAGGAAGAAGGTCCTGCATCCCATGTTAGAATAGCCAATATATTAATTTACTTTCCTGTGTAGCATCTTTAGCTTTGTTGGGATGCTTCCTGAAGACACTTCTTTCTTTTTTGGGGTGCTGCTTTTAACCTCAATATGGTGGGTACATCATCTTTTCTTCCTGCATAAAATATTTTGTTCTTTTTCCATAAATGTATCAAAATGACTTTGCATATCTAGGTCTCAGGAAGTTATTCTTGATTTTGCTCTCCAAGGTGGTCCTTGTTCATCTTTTAATAGTCACCTCTACTCATCTGTCAGTTTTAGTTGGTATGATTTATTCCAGAAATGTCTCCAGAAAGTCAATTTTTTGTTTTCAATCCTAGATCTCTGTTCCCGTTCCTCTAGCCTGGTGGTCACCCTCTGGCTTCTGCTAGGCAATCTATTTCCTCTGCTGGCTGGATTTCTTCTGTGTGTATGGCACTAGAAATGGAAAAGTGAATTCTCAAGACATTCCTTTGTGTCACGTTCCTCTGAACAAAGCACAAAATCTGGGAGAGTGCCAGCCTAGGCAGATGGCAGAAGTGGCATTCCTGACTTTGGGTTGGAAGCGTTGACCACAATCAGACCTTGAAGCAGAACTTCACAGCAGTTGTTCTTCAGCAGCAGCCCAACAGCCTCAGAGCTTGGAGGAGGAGAAGGAATTCTAAGTCACCACATCTTTATTTGTCAGGATATATAACCTGCCTGAAGTTTGCCTTTGAAAATGGGATAATTGGTGAAATTTTCAGAGTGATTACATACCCCAGCATTTTCATTTACCTAAAATGATGGGAAAGTTCATCAATACTGCAGTAATTTTTAAAAATGGCTATTACAAGATTATAAATTGTGGATCTTGTCCTCAAAAGTATAAATTGTCCTTTGACTTACAGATAGTAATTGAATTGGGTTTCTATATCACTATTATATCTTTATTGAATTTAATGGCTGTGCCTGGTATACTTAAATCATTGTTCTCATTGTTCTAAAAGGTTTTTTTTTTTTATTATGTTTTGCTAAATCTTATGATTTAACCGTGCTTGCCTTTTTCAAACCAGCTGTGTGGCAGTTTACTACTGAACGATTACATGTTGGTAGCCCTTCCAGTTGTAGCTCCAGTAGTTTAATGATGACTTGAAAAACTGTGGACACAGAGAGAGAAAAATACTCTGCCCTGTAAAAACATTGAAGGCATGCAACAGAAGAAAACATAATTGTATGTTTTTCAGATAATAATTTTGACAACTGTAACCCAACAAAAATAGAACTATTCCTCTTTGACCAATGAAGATAAAAAGAAATTATGGTACTGCATAGAGAGATATGCAGTTATTTTCAAGTGGGCTAAGAAATTGTTACAGAAGAATTTCTACTATCTGAAAATTATATATAAGAAGAAAATATAAGTCAAAACAAGGTGGTCTGAATTGTTTACTAATAGCAAAGTGTAGGTTTGGTGTAGGGCCTATTCAGTAGGACTCCCTTTACCCACAACATAAGCCTCAGTCCACAGAAGTCAGAAGATTGCCTGTGCTTTAAAAGAAGGTGATGTTCTTGACGCAATGTGATTTCTGCCCAGCGGCCTCAATGTCAAAGTGAAGAAGTTCAATGAAGCACAAGTAAATGGCAGGAGTAACTATGACTCTCTTAAGGTAGCCAGGTGCCTCATCTAATTAGTAATGCATATGAATGGATGAACGAGATTCCCACTGTCCCTACCTACTATCTAGAGAAACCACAGACCAAGGAACAGACAAAAAACAAAACAAACAAAACAGAAACAAACTATAAAAGGAGGTGATATGTTTTGCTTCCTGCTTTTGACACTTCTTCTGTTACCACATAGATTCTCATCCTCAGAAGCAATTCTCCTCCGGTACTAGAGCTTACCACCCCCTCTTGGTAATTCCAATTTGAAATTTTTTAATGATGAGTAATGCCCAGTTGTTCTCTCTAGAGCTAATGAAGTCCTGTGGCATTATAAACATAACTCCTGGACAAGATTTTTTCATTCATTCACTCATTCATTCATTCATTCATTCATTCACCTTTTAATTCAGCATATAGTTATTGAGCACTCCATTTAAGAGATGATGCTAAGTGAGCAAGCAGTATAATTATTAAAAAGTAATTCCAACTGACTATTTGGTATTGGAGCCAACCGCAACCCCAGCATAGAGGAAAGTCACCTTTTCCTAATGCATAAATTTTAAATATGTATTTGCATGCAATTTTAAATTGGAGGTATTTGTCATTGTAAAGAAAGTGGGGGTCTCTAGCATAGCCGACTTCAGCTAAAAAGAAGTTAATAGTAATGGTGTCAGGCCAGTGCTCAGTTTTCTGCCTTTGTCACACATTACTTTAAAAGAGAAAAGTATAGAGTATATTTTTAAAGAAGATTATAAAACTCTAAACTTATATATCAACTGTGATTATGAATCATCCTGCAAAGTTGTATAAAGAATTTCACCAAAAATATGATGGATAGTATATTTGAGATTCACAGTGGTAGGTTCAATTATATTTTGACTGTTGTGCAGTAATGCCATTTAGGTAGTATTGTTTCCAAGCATGGTGCTTTTTATACTTGAAATATATTTTTGCTTTGTTTTTTATTGATATAATTATATTTGCACTAATGACTTTCTGCAGAAAATATTATAGATGACATTTTTTCTATATATATTTATTAAGCTTGGAATCTGATACCTTAGTGTTTTCTCTGCACAAATAAGGAACTTGATAAGGTATGAGGCTAAGAAATCTTGAGTCTCTGAGGGTAACTAACAGCTCTAGTGTCTTCCTTCCTCTTCAACAAGTCTTGAGAGTGGTTGCTTATCACTTATTCTTCCTAGTGTACTCCGTGAAGACTTAGAAGGCCACACTGAACCTGTAAGAAATGTTAAGAGGAATGTTTGAGTCACTTAGAATATGACCATATTCTAAAAGCAGACTTAAAATCTGAAATTTCGGTGCAGAATTCGTGGGCTAGAATTCAGCTTTGAAATGAAGAATTCGAAATGGCCTCCTGTGGTAGGATGCCTTTTATGTTAACAAAACCAGTTCACTGAAAAGACTAGCAGACTGCAGCCATGGTGGAAATGAGGTGGGGCACGGAAGGAGAATAAGGAGTAGCCGATTTGGGGACAGTAGACTGGAGTCTCTGACTCGAAAAATGTGGAGTGCATATAAAAACGGACTAGACTACCTCAGTTTTCAGTTCAGATTTAGGTTCATTTTGATAGTATTAAGGTCCCAATTGTCAAAAATAACAAGTGAATTTGTCTCTCAGGTTTTCAAGAACAGAATTTACAGGAAGGCAGCAAAAGCCATGTCAGCAGACTTGAGCTGACAGCTTTAAAGAAACTGGCAAGCTGTTAGGGTAGTCTTAAGGTAGACCTGTCTAATCTCCTGAAGAACATCCTTTTCCCTTACTTACTTCTCAAGGATATTTATTTTTGTTAAGAACAAATAGACATTCTTAAAATGTTATAAATTATGCTTGAAATTAGTTTCAGCCTAGTATGTTGGCTTAGAGTTTATCAGTATTTGAAGATGAAACATAAATTAGTGAAGTTTAAACGGCTTTAGGAAGATACATAAATAAACATATCTGAGTATTCCATAAAATTTTATCAATATTCTGCTCAATATTAGAATAGCAACTGTAAAATGACTATGACTAGCTGCTCTCTCAGATTCTTTTACCTCTAATATTCTATGACTAACCCTCATTCAGACTCGGTAGGTCACTGCTGGCTCTGATCTGTGCCCTCGAGTATGCCAGCTTGCACATCATGTTCATCACAGTGTCTTGTGCTCAGTGCCGTGGCACTGTCCATGTCCTTGGACTGGAGAGAGAAGAGCCATCCCTGAGGGCGTTTGAGCCATCCTGGTAAAGGAGGTGGGTGGACTTTAGTCATAGCCCCACAGACCCATTTCATAGTGGGCAGTAGTCATTCATGCCATGTCCTTGCAGCCCTGGAGGACGAATATATTAAAGTCTGTGCTACTCATTCTGAAGAAAGAACTTACCTGAAAGGATGACGACTTCTTATTTCTTCTTTCTTTTTCTCCTTCTTTCTTCTTCTTTCTTCTCCTTCTCCTTCTTCCTTTTTTTGTTGATACATTCAGTCAGGATAGGGAAGGAAGTGATGAATTATTTTCTTTTATGTTTACATTTTTGGTAAATGAAATAGAAGATTTAAGAACTAACCTTTATTTGTGTTATTGAACTCTTAGTGTAATGTATTCCTTAGTAAAAAAAAAAAAAAAACACACACACACAACTTTAATAAAAATGGAAACTAATCTGTATCTTGTCTTTACTTACCATCAATTTTTTTTAAAGATTTTATTTATTTATTTGAGAGAGAGAATGAGAGAGAGAGAGAGCACATGAGACGGGGGAGGGTCAGAGGGAGAAGGAGACTCCCTGCTGAGCAGGGAGCCTGTTGCGGGACTCGATCCTGGGACTCCATGATCATGACCTAAGCTGAAGGCAGTCGCTTAACCAACTGAGCCACCCAGGTGCCCTACTTACCATCAATTTTTTAAAACCTTGATGAAGAACACAATCCATGTGCACCATTTGGGGAACACAAGGTGTTAATTGTGAAATAATTCAATTTCTACTTTAACTGGACTAGAATTGTCCTACTTAAAGAATGGGGACAACAATAGCCAAACTGTGGAAAGAGCCAAGATGTCCATCGACAGATGAATGGATAAAGATGTGGTACATATACACAATGGAATATTATGCAGCCATCAAAAGGAATGAGGTCTTGCCATTTGCAATGACGTGGATGGAACTGGAGAGTGTTATGCTGAGTGAAATAAGTCAATCAGAGAAAGACATGTATCATATGACCTCACTGATATGAGGAATTCTTAATCTCAGGAAACAAACTGAGGGTTGCTGGAGTGGTGGGGGGTGGGAGGGATGGGGTGGCTGGGTGATAGACATTGGGGAGGGTATGTGCTATGGTGAGCACTGTGAATTGTGCAAGACTGTTGAATCACAGATCTGTACCTCTGAAACAAATAATGCAATATATGTTAAGAAAAAAAAAGGGAAGAATGAAGGGGGGTAAATCAGAGGGGGAGACGAACCATGAGAGATGATGGACTCTGAAAAACAAACTGAGGTTTTTGGGGGGGGGGGGGTGGGGGGATGGGTTAGCCTGGTGATGGGTATTAAAGAGGGCACGTTCTGCGTGGAGCACTGGGTGTTATGCACAAACAATGAATCATGGAACACTACATCAACAACTGATGATGTAATGTATGGTGATTAACATAACAATAAAAAATTTAAAGAAAAAAAAAGAATGGGGACAGATCTTACGTAAAGGTATAGGGAGAAGCCCTCCTCAAAGAGTTATGTAGGAAAGAGAGCAGTCTAAAACAATTCAGGGCAAGCTCCTCTGGCTGCAGATGATCCCAGTCCCTTTTGTTTTATGCTGTGGGCCACGAGTCTCACTGCATGAGCAGCCTTGCACATTTATGTGCCATGCTCTGTGCAGTAGCAGCAAGTAGATTGTGGCTGTAGTTTTGGAGTGTGATTGTTCTTCATAACCTGAATATAGTTTGAGAAAGGATATCCTGGACATGCCTTCACCATGTGCACTTGGAG